TACAAAAAAAGCATACCCTTATCCCTAACCTAGCTATGCTTTTCCCTATCTTATGAACAGCAGCTACACTTTCCCTCCCCTTACTAAGCATGCAGCTTGAGAATGAATCTAAAATGGATGCTGTCCAGTAGGTGGGAGGGTCTGCTAGGGAGGCTGTGCTGCTAATTGGCTGGAATGTCTCTGCTGACTGTGAGGTACAGGGTCAAAGTTTACTCAATGATGACGAATAGGGGGCGGGTCGAACCGCGCATATGTTCGCCCGCCGTGGCGAACGCGAACATGCTATGTTCGCCGGGAACCGTTCGCCAGCGAACCGTTCGGTACATCACTACTGCTAATACCTCTCCCTATACAACCAAGCATTCTGCTAGCATTTCCTGCTGCTATATTACATTGTCTACCTGCCTTTAAGTCATCTGAAATAATTACCCTTAAATCCCTTTCCTCAGATGTTTATTAGGACTCTATCAAATATTCTGTACTCTTCCCTTGGGTTTTTTAGAGGAAAGGGGTTAAACTTACCTTTTTTCCAGCGCCAGGCGTGGAGTTCTCCTCCTCCTCTCCACCTCCGATCCTCCTCTTCGGCTGAATGCGCATGCACGGCAGGAGCTACGCGTGCATTCAGCCAGTCTCATAGGAAAGCATTCAGCCAGTATCATAGGAAAGCATTTTTATGTATTTCAGGATGACCTGCTGTCGGATTATCATGAAATAACCAAAGTTCTTTTTTCCTCAATGATGGTGTGACGTACAGTTTGTCCGGAGGTTTCTCTAAGGGTGCCTGAGTTTGATCTGCTATTATGGCACAGAAAAGTGGAGAAGACACTTCGGAAACCATAGTAGCAATAAGACATTCTGGAGGTACAATCGGGAATACCTCTTGTTCAGGAACCTCATCTGTCTCAAACTGTCTAGACAACGCATATGCCTTGGTATTCTTGGTCCTGGGCCTGTATGTAATAACAAAATTGAAGCGGGAGAGGAATAAGGACCATCTAGCCTGTCGGGAGGAAAATCTCTTAGTATCCCCAATATAAGCCAAATTCTTGTGATCTGTGAAAATCAAAAGTGGCTCTTTGGAACCTTCTAAGAGATGTCTCCATTATTTAAGGGCAAATACAATGGCCAGTAATTCCCAATGTCATAATTAGAGTTGAGCGGACACCTGGATGTTCGGGTCCGGCGGGTTCGGCCGAACATTGAAAAAAAGTCCGGGTTCATGATCGAACTTGACCCCGAACCCGAACCCCATTGAAGTCAATGAGGACCCGAACTTTTGGCCACAAAAATGCCTCTAAAAAAACTCCTGGAAAGGGCTAGAGAGCTGCAAAAGGAAGTAAAATGGAGATAATAGTAGGACAAGTGCCCTGCAAACAAATGTGGATAGAGAAATCACTTAAAATAACATAAAATACATCAAATTTAAAAATACAGCTGAGCCATAAAATAGCACTAGATGGAATCTTTGATTTTAGCTTTGGAAGAACATAAATCAAAATCTAAAGCATGGCTGTCAGGAGGATCACCAGAATTATCCATGTGAGAGAGGGTTGGAGTGCAGGGTATTCTCTTTCATTGTTCAAACTGTGCTCAACTCCTGATGCATGGAGAAAAGGCCTTCACATGCCTCTGCTACTGTGTACATAGTTTATACTAAGTGACCCATAGGTTGAGGAGGCGGTGACCGTGGCGTTGTAGGTGGAAGCAGTGGTGGAGGAGGAGGATGAGGTAGCCAACACTGTTTTTTTTTGTTTTGTTTTTAATTGGGGTAGCCCCCAAAATATTGGGATATGGAAAAAAGATACATTTGCGGCCTGCGGTGCATTTCTTGCAGTCCTGATGCATGGAGAAATGCTCAACTCCTGATGCACGGAGAAAAGGCCTTCACAAGCCTCTGCTATTGTGTACATAGTATATACTAAGTGACCCATAGGTTGAGGAGGCGGTGACCGTGGCGGTGTAGGTGGAAGCAGCGGTGGAGGAGGAGGAGGATGAGGTAGCCAACACTGTTGTTTTTTTTATGTCTTTTTAATTGTGGTAGCCCCCAAAATATTGAATCAGTGTTCCATTGTGTACAGGGACCCTGAGAAATGGCTACCACATGCAAGGAAGGCAGCAGGCGCGCAAATGACCCACTCCCGATGCGGGAAGGTAGTGACGACAAATAACAATACAGGACTCTTTAGAGGCCCTGTAATTGTAATAATGAGTCCACTTGAAATCCTTTAAGGTAATCCCTCCTCTCCACAACAGCTCCTTTGTACAGGGCCTGAATACTTGCAGGCCACCCCAGCAGAAGCGCTGGCACCAGGGCAGAGCGCAGTTGGCCTCTGCCCACCAAGTACCTACAGCTCCAGGCCTGGGAGTGCAAGGGAGACCAGGAGTACCAGATGCCCCCTTGATCACAGGGAACGTACAGAACAGAGATGGGCTATGGAGGTCACCAGGTCCAGTACTTGCTTGTTGTGGGTGGGTTGCTTGACTAACTCAGACACCGACTGACAAAAAAGTCAGGTGCCTGGTTAGTCTTCCCCTAGGAGGAAAGATGTGTGGCAAAAGCCACGTCACCATGGGGTTTTGGAGAGGACTACTTTTCAGCCTTTTACCTTGTGATTATGGCCCTGCAGCCTTACAATTTTACAATCCAGTATCGACCCGGAAACAAAATGGCAATGCAGATTGATTATACAGACAATCAGAGCCTCTACGGAGAGTCTGGACATCCCCAATTTAAACCGAAAAGGGTTAATCCGGGTATGCCGGGTTTTCCACAAGAAGGGAGCATTGTGACAGATCCTCTGTCTCTGGGTTATAAATCTATTCTCTGGTTCGTCTGTTTGTTCACCTAAAAACCCCTTCCATTCCCTTGCTGTTTCGTCTATTTGTTCACCTAAAACCTTTTCCATTCCCTTGCTGGTTCGTCTATTTATTCACCTGAATCTCTTCCATTCCCTTGCCGGAAAATGGTACTTCGCATACAGTCGAAGTGGTCGAACACGTGGCGGCTGCCATCTTATTTAGGTGTTTTGTCATCGAGTTCATGAAACTCAAATCGGATGCGCGATGGCAAGAACAAGGCTGAACAGTTACCTTCCGGAGAAATTCGACCATTCATATAGTCGAACGACGTTCGATGAACTGATGCCCATGAACAAGAGACGTTCTGTCTCTTATTGTAGGGAGCTGCTATATCACTACCAGGCAGTGCCGGACTGGGAAAAAAATTCGGCCCGGGCATTTTTTTATCCCAGCGGCCCACTAAGAACGGGGCGGGGCAGAAAGGGTGTGTTTTGTCATCACTCATGACAAACACGCCCCCTCTCAAAGTGAGCATGTTGGTTCAATGCTCTTCCAGGGCAGACCATGCGCAGAGCTCTGCTGAAGAACTCTAGCATGAGAAAAAAAGCCCTGTATTTGTTCTGCACAGTGCAAGCAAATTTAATAACATGCTTGCACTGTGTTTCCTTGCAACTTGTCTCTGGTGTCTCTATAAATGGATACCAGGAGACAAAAGGGCCAGGAAAGAGTATTGGAGCCTGCTTGTGGTATTGCGTGTGTGCAGAGTGAGCTGGTCATGGTGTGGTATTGTGTAATAGGTTCGGTTTTAGTCGTGTTGTGTTTGTGGTGTAATGCAATGCATATGTGGCTAGGGGCTGTAGAGAATGTGTGTGTATAGGGGATGTAGCAAGTGTGTGCATATAGGCTATAGTGTGTGTGTGTGTGTGTAGGTGATGTAGTGTTTGTAGAGAGTGTGTGTTCAGGGAATGTAGTTTGTGTTTGCTTACAAGGAATCTAGTGTGCGTATAGGGGATCCAGAGTGTGTGTGTGTGTGTGTGTGTGTGTATATATATATATATATATATATATATAAGTCTTGTGTGTGTTTGAATGTAATGTGTTTAGGGGTGCAGTTTGTGTGTGAGGGGTGCTGTGTGTGTATGTGTGTGTATATATATATATATATATATATATATATTTGTGTAAGGGGCAAATAGCCGTAAATGGAGTAAGGATCCAGCATAAGCGTAGGATAGTATAAAGGGAGCAAGTCGTTGTGGTGTGCCGAGACCGACGATACGGTAGGCCTGTAAATAAAGAGGGCCCACCAAGGAGTAAGAAAGTAAAGTAAATGGAAAGAAAAGAGAAAGTGTTGAAATGAGGAGTGGGTGGGAGGGTCATTCTGATGCTGACCTCAAGCGATATGGAGTCAGGTAAGGGGTGTCCCTTATATAGGGGAGTGAATTAATTTAAGCCCCTCCCACAAATACAGGCCAAACGGCCTTAATATATATATATATATATATATATATATATATATATATATATATATATATATTATATAAATATGTTTGGAAGTATTGTGTATGTGTGTGTATGTGAGGGGTGCAGTATGTGTGGGTTATGGATGCTGTGTGTGTGTGAGGCTGCTGTATGTGATTGATTTGTGTGAGGGTGCTGTGTGTGTGGGTGATGTGTATGATGTGTGTGAGAGTGTTGTGTGTGAGTGCTGAGTGTGATAGTGCTGTGTATGATGTGATAGTGCTGTGTGTGTGAGGGTGCTGTATGTGATTGATTTGTGTGAGGGTGCTGTGTGTGTGAGGGTGCTGTATGTGATTGATTTGTGTGAGGGTGCTGTGTGTGGGGGTGCTGTGTATGATGTGTGTGAGAGTGTTGTGTATGAGTGCTGAGTGTGATAGTGCTGTGTATGATGTGTGTGAGAGTGATGTGTGAGAGGTGCTGTGTGTGAGAGTGTCGTGTGTGATGTGTGTGAGTGCTGAGTGTGATAGTGCTGTGTATGATGTGTGAGAGAGTTCTGCGTATGATGTGTGTGAGTGCTGTGTGTGTGTTGTGTGTGAGAGTGCTGTGTGTGTGTTGTGTGTGTGTGAGAGTGCTGAGTGTGATGTGTGTGAGAGTTCTGAGTGTGCGAGATTGCTGAGAGTGCTGTGTGTGAGTGCTGAGTGTGATGTGTGTGAGAGTGCTGTGATGTGTGAGATTGCTGTGTATGATGTGTGTGACAGTGCTGTGTGAGAGTTTTTTGTGTGATGTGTGAGTGCTGAGTGTGAGAGTGTTTTGTGTGATGTGTGAGTGCTGAGTGTGAGAGTGTTTTGTGTGATGTGAGAGTGCTGTGTCGTGTGATGTGTGTGAGAGTGCTATGTATAAATGTTGTGTGTTGGGGTAAATAAACAAATAAAAAATTAAGTGGGGTTAAATATACAAATAAAAAAAAACTAAGGGTGGTAAATAAACAATAAAACAAAACTATGGGGGGGTAAATAAACAATTAAAAAAAAAAGCTAAGCAGGCATTAAATCCCCCCCTCCCTTCTTACCTTTAGCCTGGGGGGGGGGGGGGGATCTGGGAGGGGAGGGACCGGCACTCGTTCATCATCCCTGGTGGTCCAGTGGTGAGTGACCTCTAGCCTAAGGGCTAGAGTTCACTCTCGCGAGATTGGGGCGTTGCCATGGCAATGATCCCGATCTCGCGAGAGGAGCCCGGCGGAGCTGCAAGATAGAGCTCCGCCGGGTCCTCTCTCTCCCTCTCTCCCTAGAGACTGTTCTCCTACATAGGGTCACTTGGCAGATATGGATTGACACCTGTCCTCAGAGCCCCTGATACACACTGACACAGAGCAGAATAGAGACTGTTCCTCCTACATGGGGTCACTTGGCAGATATGGATTGACACCTGTCCTCAGAGCCCCTGATACACACTGACACAGAGCAGAATAGAGACTGTTTCCCCACATAGGGTCACTTGGCAGATATGGATTGACACCTGTCGTCAGAGACCATGATACACACTGACACAGAGCAGAATAGAGACTGTTCTCCCTACATAGGGTCACTTGGCAGATATGGATTGACACCTGTCCTAAGGATCCCTGATACACACTGACACAGAGCAGAATAGAGACTGTTCCCCCTACATAGGGTCACTTGGCAGATATGGATTGACACCTGTCCTCGGAGATCATGATACACACTGACACAGAGCAGAATAGAGACTGTTTTCCCTACATAGGGTCACTTGGCAGATATGGATTGACACCTATCCTCAGGATCACTGATACACACTGACACAAATCAGAATAGAGACTGTTCCCCCTACATAGGGTCACTTGGCAGATATGGATTGACACCTGTCCTCAGAGCCCCTGATACACACTGACACAGAGCAGAATAGAGACTGTTCCTCCCACATAGGGTCACTTGGCAGATATGGATTGACACCTGTCCTCAGAGACCATGATACACACTGACACAGAGCAGAATAGAGACTGTTTCCCTACATAGGGTCACTTGGCAGATATGGATTGACACCTGTCCTCAGAGATCCTGATACACAATGACACAGAGCAGAATAGAGACTGTTCCTCCTATGGATAGGGTCACTTTGGCAGTTGGTGACTGGACACCTGTCCCTCATAGCCCCTGCGGATACACACCTCGGACACAGAGCAGAATAGAGACTGTCCCTCCTAGCAGGGTCACTTGGCACCTGTTACCACTAAATGCCAAATATTGTTATACAGGGGAATATTCAGTAAATAAGGATAAGGGGGGACCTACTGTCCTCCCCCGGCCCCCACCCCTGCACGGTGGGTGGGGGCCATAAATCTCAATGGGGGGGGACCTACTGTCCTCCCGCCCACTCCCACCCATGAGCGGTGGGTGGGGGCCATAAAAATAATGAGGGGGGGACCTACTGTATGATGTTGTATCGATCAGGTAGTGTAAGGGTTACGCCCGCTTCACAGTGACAGACCAAACTCCCCGTTTAACGCACCGCAAACAACCGCAAACAGTCCATTTGCACAAGGTTGGATACCAAGCTAGCCATGTCCTGTTCCTTGTCCTCACTGATGTCATTGAAGGTCTCTTCCTCCACCCAGCCACGTACAACACCAAGGGTCCCCGAAAGGTGACAACAAGCCCCCTGGGACGCCTGCTGTGTTTGGTCTTCCTCCTTCTCAAAGCCACCTTCCTTCTCTGACTCCTCTTCTTCAGACTCCTCTCTCTGCGTTGCCTCTCTCTACGTTATTATAAGGTGTGTTAAGTAGTATTATTCCTATCAGTTTAATCCCTGACATGTATATGGCATCGATTTTAGGAACCGGGAGATGGAAAAAGATGCTTGGTCGGTCCTCCTACTTCAAAC